AATAACAACAAAAAACCTTTCTCACAAGTATCTTTTGATTTTCAAGAAGTAAGCCAAGAATAAGTATTAAAAACGTTTAAGACTATAAAATCAAATGCTAACGGCATCGATCAGATAGGTTTAACACATATAACATACCTTATAAACCTTTCACTATCCTCAGGATTTGTGCCATCTCTATGGAAAGCTGCAAAAGTAATACCTATTCCCAAAAAGCCTATGCCAAATGAACCATCTGATCTAAGACCAATAAGTATGTTAACTTTTGTAAAAGATTTTACACAAACAAACAATGAAGTATGCAAACAAAAATATTCTTTCTGGCATGCAGTCCGGTTTTGGACCGCATTATTATACCGATTGCATTGGATAAATTGCTCTGTGTGCGCTTCGTCTCCTTTCAAGTGTTGTCAGCTATTACTATGAGTAAATATCTACGTGGAATAAAGACAAGAAAGCGTGAACTGTGTTATATTTGGTACTTCTCAAGAATTTGGTTTTGTTTTGCCCTTATATAAATTTGTGATTAAGTATTACCTTTTCATGAAGCACGATTTAAAACCTTGTGCTGTAAGTAGCTGAAATCGGATAAAATGTTGCTCAAAAACTTGAAGAACTTTGGCTAAAATTCTGCAAATGATTCGTAACTATGGCGACAAGTATAGAAATATGATAAAATCTTTTAAAGGTAAAGGCAGTCGTAAGAGTTATTAGTTGAAACTAAAAGCATTTTATGTTGATGAAAAGAAACTGTTTAATATATCTGCATGAAAATACAAAGAGCTTAATTTTTGTTCTTGTCCATTAGACCAAATGTCAGTACGAAATAGTATATTGTGACACACACTTGTTTTTCGCCTAGCATCAAACAAATTATTTTTTTAAATTTTATTAATATAAACGGAATTTTATAAAAAACTTCAGTAACAATTTACGAATTTATATATTGTTGTAATTAATGTTAATTATGCCTTGAGCACAATTGTGGATAGTACCAGAATTTGAAGGCTTATTTCTACAGATGGCATCAAGGCGTAGTAGTATTGCCAGGGGTAGGATAAGTGAATCACCAATGGTGACTCAGCCGGAGACAAAGGTCGATGAAAGCCCCTAACCTCTACCTACCCAAGACCGTCAGTACGTGTCGTAAGACACACCCTGCAAGAGGTGATGCTGCTCAATGCAAAAGACTGCGGATCTAGGGGACTTAACCCCGAACAAAAATGCCCAAATCCCCTAGTGTTACGTGACCCGTGCTAGGGGAGGGAAGGGACAACGGGACCTCTTGGGGTGTGGGCACCCCCTTGCAGTAAGAAGCCTCGCCAAAGCTAAGGTGTAAGGCAACGTGCTGAGGGCTGGATGGCCGCAGGGCGCAACATGCGGTCTTTAACGTTCCCCTTGGGATAACAGGCGACCTCCCATTGTATTTAGCCTTACCCACACAATCCGGCGCTGTGTGGGCGGACCTAGTTCCGGACTACTCGTGGGAATTATATTGATACACCTATAAAACCCAAAGGCTCTCCGCAAGGAGAGATCGCTATGCCAGGCTCTCAAGTGGGGACTGACGTGTCGGGCTCCTCGAAAGAGGGGACCTCACAAGGACCCACAAAGGGGACAGGTAATACCGCTTCCGGGACTCGCAAGAGTAACAGAAGCGGCGCAGCTAAGGCTAGAGCCAGGAGGCTCAGGCTCAAGGCACAGTCCATGGGCCCGGGCTCTGGCGAAGGCCAAACGCCTGCTCCGGCGCAGGGGGGGGCCCAAGGATCTGGGACGAAACGTAACAGATCTGAGGGAAGCACCCCTGAGTCAAAGGGGGCAAGGACGCTGGCAAAGAGGCCCAAGGCTTCCGGAGTAAAATCGGGAGGCCAAGGGACTGCTTCGTACAGCGCCGCAACGTCTGCTGGTCTCGGGGTGACCATCGTGCCGGATGCTTATCCGGACGCGGTGATCACGGAAGAGCAGAGTAAAGGCATCATGGGGAAACTAAACGCCCACATTGATCTAATGGGAAGAGATCGATTCCCACAGTTTGAGCAGTTTCGCTGGTCGTCGCAGGGAACCATCACGGTTAAATGCGGAGACCAGTGGACGTCTCCTCGATCAGACCATGGGAAGGGGCATCACTGCGCGTGCAGCGGTACATTCCCAGGGCAATTAAGATGGTTGCAGCTGTCCAAGGCCTCCCAGACGACACCCCCACCATCCTTAAGCGACTCAACCGACAGAATCCTGGACTTAGGACAAATCTGTGGAGGAGGTATCACCGAAAAGAGGAGAAGAACAGGGTTCTCCTGGTTTTTGGAGTTGACGAGGCTTCAGCCGAGGTCTTGCAACGGCAAAAACTTAAAGCGTTCGCAGGGGTCTCCGTCGTCACTTTCATGACGAAGACAAAGGCTCCAGCAGCGCCGGAGAAAAAGACGGCTCCAGCCGAGGAGGGTAGTAGCAATACTCCCTTATCGGAAGGAACGTCTACGCCCGAATCAGATCCGACAGCGACAGTGGACGAGGAGGTGGCCGAGCTCATGGCTCAGGTGGATGTAGAGGATACACCACCAGGGACAAGGGCTGGACCATCCGTAACCTAGAAATCAGGTCCTATATCCATCCTCCACCATGGATAAAGAGACCTCATTTCTACAGAGCAACTTGCAACATAGCAAAGGGGCGATTTCCTTAATAGATCGTCACATAGCTATGGGGCAGACCAACTAAATCCAAGGGCTTGTATCTACGTCGACAGACGGATCGAGTCCTCACTAATAGCTAATTTCTGTTCTAGGGACTTAGTAGCGGTGAAACTATGCCTTAAGGACAGACCAGGACAGAGCACATCCTTGGTGGTATGCTCGGCCTATCTGCCCTATGACTCGACAGACGATCCTCCAACACAGGAGCTCATCGATTTAGTGGAATACTGCAGCACATTGGGCCTCTCGCTGATCATCGGATGCGATGCCAACGCACACCATACGGTGTGGGGAAGCACCGACACGAATCGGAGAGGGCTCAGCCTCTTAGAGTATCTACATACTACCGATCTGGAAATCCTAAACCGCGGCACTACACCGACCTTTGTCACGTCACGAAGACAAGAGGTGATAGACTTGACATTGGGCTCCCTCTCCCTGGCCCCGATGACAAGAAATTGGAAGGTGTCTGAAGAGCCATCCCTGTCAGATCACAGACACATTCTCTTTAGCTTAGACCTAACTCACGATGCTGGGCTCAGTAGGTTCAGGAACCCCCGGAACACTAACTGGGACCAGTATATTGAGATGCTAAAGACTAAGCTAGTGGACTCTCCCATGACGTGCCGCAGCTTTCGGCAAGTGGAGGAAACAGCCGAATTTGTACGGGAGGCAATCATCACATCGTACGAACGAAGCTGCCAGCTTCGGGTCTATCGAGGAAAAAAGAAAACCCCTTGGTGGAACTTTGACCTCGATAAGGCTCGCAAGGAAACCCGCAGGCTCTTTAACAGGGCCATGCGGTCTAAATCGCCTGCGGATTGGGACAGCCACAAGCAGTCTCAGCGCAGGTACAAAGATCTCATAAGAAGGTCTAAGAGGGAATCGTGGAGGACGTTCTGCGGTAACGTAGACGAGCTTCCAGCAGCCGCCAGGCTTCAAAAGATTCTCTCAAAGGATCCGGGACGAGAGCTGGGGACATTAAGGCTTCCCTCCGGTGACTATAGTACCACCCCGGGGGAGGCACTTAAATGGCTCCTGGAAACTCACTTTCCAGGCTCAAAAATCCTGCAAACTGTTGAACCACCAAGGCGGGCTCCACCAGCGGGCGTAAGACCGACTGACTGGAAGTTAGCTGCAAAGGTAGTGACAGAAAGCTCCATAAAGTGGGCCATCCACTCATTTGGATCTTTTAAAAGCGCGGGACCAGATGCCATCTTTCCGGCTCTCTTACAAAAGGGACTAGAACCACTGACACCGCACTTGATACACCTCTTCAGAGCCTGCCTGGCACGAGGCTACATGCCGCAATCCTGGCGAAAGGTTCGAGTGGTGTTCATCCCCAAGCCAGGACGTTGTAACTACGATACGGCAAAGGACTATAGACCCATCAGTCTATCCTCGTTTCTTTTAAAAACTATGGAGAAACTGGTGGACATATTTATTAGGGACGGGGCACTAAAAAGAATTCCCATGCATCCCAATCAACACGCCTACAGGACAGCCATGTCGACGGAGACCGCTCTTCACAGCCTTGTGACAAGACTAGAGAGAGGGACTCGTCCGTAAGAGATGGCTCTGGGCACGTTTCTAGATATTGAAGGAGCTTTCAACAACACCTCCTTCGACTCGATAAATAGAGCTGCAGAAGGCTTTGGCATAGAGAATACCATTGTCAAATGGATCCGTGTCATGCTCGGATCAAGCAGGATCATTACAAGCTCGATTGGAACTACGAAGATCAGCTCAACCGTAGCCAGAGGCTGCCCGCAAGGAGGAGTACTATCGCCCTTGCTGTGGTGCCTAGTGCTGGATGGGCTACTTCGTATCCTAAACGAGGAAGGCATATACACTCAAGGCTACGCGGACGACCTCGTCATCGTCGTAGCCGGAAGGGTACCAAACACTATTAAAGAGATCATGCAAAGAGCTCTTAATAAGGTCGAAAGGTGGTGCAACGATCACGGACTATCCGTCAATCCGGATAAGACAGAAGTAGTACCATTCACCAACCGAAGAAACATTAACCTTGAGGGGCTCACGCTCTTTGGATCAAGCCTGACCCCATCCAAATCAGTCAAGTATCTAGGAGTCATCATTGACTCCAGGCTGACCTGGAAGGAACATGTCAACAGGGTCGTCCAGAGGGCCACTCATAGCCTATGGGCATGCAGAAAGACCATTGGACGCACCTGGGGCTTACAACCCCACATAGTGCACTGGCTTTACACAACAGTCATAAGGCCAATGATCACATACGGCAGCCTTGTTTGGTGGAACGCGTTAAGCAAGCCCAACTACAGGAAGAAGATGGACAAGCTTCAACGATTTGCCTGCATGGGCATAATTGGAGCTTTCAGAACCACTCCAACATTGGCAATGGAGGCCATACTGGGACTGGCGCCTCCACATCTCTTTGTGGAGGCACGGGCTCGGGAGGCCTCAGTCAGACTCAACGATTGGGGACAGTGGACTCAAGGGGGGGGAAACTCAGGGCATGCAAGGGCCTGGACTGAGACTATCAACCGGGACCCCCTTCTCACAAGAAGAGATGCAATGCCAAAGACGTCTATATAAAGTGGTTTTCCCCTCCAGAAACGACTGGAGTGAGCCTGACCCAGGCTTTCTCAAACCGGAAGGGCTCATCTGGTATACAGACGGGTCTTTAATGAAAGAAGGTGCAAGAGCTGGTGTATATGGAGAGCGACCTGGGGCGAGAATAAGCCTTGCACTAGGTCGATACCCAACGGTATACCAGACTGAAATCTTTGCCATCCAGATATGCGCCCAAGAGAATCTCCAGAGAGGCTACTCGGGTAAACATATCTACATATGCAGCGACAGTCAAGCAGCACTCCGAGCTCTTCACTCGGAAAGGGTCAACTCGAGACTTACACTGGACTGCATAAAAACCCTTGAACTACTCAGTGTGCTCAACAAGGTTAACCTTATCTGGGTACCGGGTCATCGAGGCATCAGAGGCAACGAGGAAGCAGACCAGCTGGCTCGTGAGGGCAGCAACACGGCCTTCTTGGGGCCAGAACCTGTCATAGGGGTCGCCTCATGTCTGGTAAAAACCAAAATCAGGAACTGGGCTAACGACCAGTTCCAGAAAAAATGGCGTGAACAACAAGGCCTCAGGCAGTCAAGGGTCTTTATAAAGAGTCCTACTACCTGCAAAGAGGCAAAAAGACTCCTGAAACTTAACAGGAACCATCACAGGAGTCCTAACAGGACACTGGGTGGTCAAATACCACCTACACAAAACCGGACTCAGCAACGAGTCGGACTGTAGGTACTGCAGCGAAGTAGACGAAACTACCGAGCATATAGTCTGCGAATGCGACGCACTAGTCAATAGTAGACTAAGACACCTAGGGGACAGATACTTGGAACCAGAGGAAATAATGCATGCCCGACCAGAGCGGGTCTGCGCTTTTCTTAAAAGCTGCGGGCTCGTAAGATAAGGCAGAGCTTCACCAAAAGGGGGTTTGCACAATGGGCCGTATGTGTGCCTAAGTGCTGCCTGCAAAGGCTCCCCTTCAAATCAATAAATCTACAGATGAAGTTAATGTTTCATTAGAATTATCTTTGATCTTTCCGATAGATAAGCAACTAATACATTTTCTGTTAAGTTTTTGGGTTTTTGATCCTTTTTCCAGTTTTTAAATAATTCATAGCACTTTTCGTACCGTTGCAACGCATTGTCTTAACAGCTAGCTAGCTTCCTCTTTTTCAAATCTGGTCAATTATTCGTAAATTTTTCGTCACTGTCCGAGTTACCATTCATTTTCACTTCATTACAAAATTTAAATTAGGTTTTATTGTTATTTTATACTTTTGTTGTCCGTTTTTATTTTGATTTACACAAACGTCTGAAAATCTCAAATGTCAAAATGTTAAATGCCAAAATACATAAATGTCAGTCAAAGGTATCTAGAATGTGGAAAACTAGGGACGATATGAGTTTAGCGACCCTAGAGACAATACATAATATTTTTGGTCATATTTTTAGGTTTGATATGATTAATTTTTATATGTGCTGGGCGAAAAAATGATTATGGGATCGTTGGATATAGAAAACACAAAGCAACTGACTAAAAAACTTGATGAAAAAGCAAGAAAAGTCAAATCAATGTTTAAACTATAATTTATAGAATTTTAATTTATACTAATTTTTTTGGGTATTAGCTAAATGTTACAAAACTTTTTATTGAATACAGATTCGAAACATCTTTACCGAACATAATAATATTATGCAAGTATATACTAAATATAATATGTTATTTAAATTTACATAATATGTTGTGGGGTTAACAGAAAATATTGTGTAAACTCGTATGGTCACGTGACATAACCTTTTTTCAAAGTTGATGGCGTAGTTTGCAGGCATATATGCCGACTTACATAACCAACCGTGTAGAAACTAGGAGTCCTCAACACCCTAATTCATAGGGCTAAAACAATGAGCAAGCCAGATCATCTAAAAGGGAAACTGCACTATCTCAAGAAAGCCCTCAAAATGAAATGAAAAGGAAGCGGATATAAAAAGAACAATTCGGAGAAAGCGAAAGAAAAACCGAGACCAGGCAAACATTGGTACGTTGGCCGACTTAAATGTACCAAATTGTTTTTTATTTAAAAAAAATTATTTTAAATATTGTAAATAATAATAGTATATTGTGTCTCAAGGGCAGAAAACTAGCTTTAGCAGCTCGCGGCTATTAACTGCTTAGCATCAAACAAATTATTTTTTTAAATTTTATTAATATAAACGGAATTTTATAAAAAACTTCAGTAACAATTTACGAATTTATTTATTGTTGTAATTAATGTTAATTATGCCTTGAGCACAATTGTGGATAGTACCAGAATTTGAAGGCTTATTTCTACAGATGAAGTTGATGTTTCATTAGAATTATCTTTAATCTTTCCGATAGATAAGCAACTAATACATTTTCTTTTAAGTTTTTGGGTTTTTGATCCTTTTTCCAGTTTTTAAATAATTCATAGCATTTTTCGTACCGTTGCAACGCATTGTCTTAACAGCTAGCTAGCTTCCTCTTTTTCAAATCTGGTCAAGTATTCGTAAATTTTTCGTCACTGTCCGAGTTACCATTCATTTTCACTTTATTACAAAATTTAAATTAGGTTTTATTGTTATTTTATACTTTTGTTGTCCGTTTTTATTTTGATTGACACAAACGTCTTAAAATCTCAAATGTCAAAATGTCAAATGCCAAAATACATAAATGTCAGTCAAAGGTGTCTAGAATGTGAAAAACTAGGGACGATATGAGTTTAGCGACCCTAGAGACAATAAATATTATTTTCGGTCATATTTTTAGGTTTGATATGATTTATTTTTATATGTGCTGGGCGAAAAATATTATTTCAAACTTTTTACATTTGGAAAATAAACACAATATCGTCCCAATGTAAGCTTTCTGACCATCATTTCTAGACATTTAACCGACAATAGGTGTAATTCTGGAAAACGACCGTTTCGACGTATTACCGACGCACATACAGGTATTTGCACGATCTGGGCGGCCAAAATTATTTGTATGTATGTGTAAACCATGCAAATAGATGAATTAACTTGTTTTTAACAAAAAAAAATGCCAATTTACAATATTTTTATTAAAAGGCACAATGGCGTATTGAGAAAAATGCTTAGTCGGTTTCTTACAATTACACGTACATTTTCCTACACATACATCACAGTACAATTAACCCAACGCAATAAGCATTCAGCATTTTTGTAACTAACTTAGTTAATTTTGTCATCGAATTTGCTCTCATTGCAGTTTACTCGAGAAAATGTTCTTGCAAAGTTTTGACGATAACTCCTGAAATGCATATTACGAGCTTCAGCTGCCTCCTCTGGAAGCTGACCAATTATTGGTAACAATGCTTTTTCAATTATTACTGCCCCATGAACTAAAACCTTGTGCAATGTTGGAGTCATAGGATGCCATGGGTACAGGCGAACATATACGTTAACAAATACGTACCTTAACATGAGAATAGTTGATCCTTTAGACAGTTTAGTTTAGCATCAATACCTATAAGGCACATCCGCGCTCTCCATGGGATCAAACTGTTCACTATCCTTACTTCCGAAACACCTGGTTAACCAAAAACAAACATACACAAAAATTGTCCAAAATGTTAGAAGTAACAGAAAAACAACTTATCCGGGATTTTCCTGGCAATCATTTGGTGTTATTTATTAAAAGAAGGGTTAAATCTATATAAATAAAAATGAATGAAATAAAAATGTATGTTTGTCCTCTATGCGTTCCAAAACCATTGATCAGATTGTGATGAAACTTTAGTTGGGTCTTCTGAGGATGCCAACGAGGGTTTCTGACCCAAAAAATCTAAGGTTCGTTTACGTTGAACATAGAAACAATTAAAAAGTAATTTCAACAATCGAAGTAATTTGACATTATTTAGTCATATTTTTGAAGTTTTGGGCGTAATACCAAAAATAAAACAGACAGAAGGAATGGGAAAGCATTGTCATTACTGTGGTCAATGGATGCCCAGAAGAGCTCTACAGAACAATTATATCTGTGAACACTGCAATAATAAACTAATGTTAAAAACGACATCATTATCTAATGTCAACAGTCGCTGTATTGAATGTGATTCAATAATTATTATATCATCTAATTTTAATTACTGTGAAATTTGCGGATTAGAGACAAGACATTATTTAGACTTGAAAAGAATTGAAATGGCTAATAATAAATCAAAGGAATTTAAAGAAAAGCTTTCTTTAAGTAATACTGTTAATTCAACATTCGAAGAACCAATCTCAAATAATTTACAAGAAGAATGGAGTAGTATAGACATTGAAAGTATAGTAAACAACGTATCACCAAATAATGAAAATTCAATCGTTGATTCGCCAGATATTGATCTCATTTCAAAAGTACAATAAAAGATTACAATAGGTTAATGCATTTGTAATATTTGTTCGCGTACTTCTGAATATAGTTGATTTTGAGTAAATAAAAGATGTTTTATTAGACATTCATTTTCATACTTTGTATTATATCCTAATCGCATTTTAAATACCTAAGTAATTTATAATATAATAATATTTGATAGATAATATTTGGTACTATGCTCCACACTTCAAAGTCGCACCACGTGACCAAGTACGGAACGCAGTCTTTTGATAAATTGTCATTTAAGGCTTTTCAGGTTATGTATCTGTCAAAGTATAGTCAATGAAAGAAATAATATTTATACTGTTACCGTTTATGTTTAAGCGTTAAAAGTTTATAAATCTTTATAGTATCACAGTAACAATGGTTGGTTTAAGAGTTAAGTAGTATAAATACTGCATTTAATGAAATTCTAAAGTGTATAGTGCCAAATAAGTAAAATTTTTGTGCATTTGGTTTACATATATCTGGTTTTATCCATTAAATAGTTTTAACTAAACGGCATTTATTAAAAAAATTTAGCTTGTCTATTATGGAATAAGAATATCTGTATCAAAGGTAGGTTAATATATTATAACAAAAAATATCTAATTTTGAAATTTTAAGGTTAGAAAAATCTATTTTGATCAAAATAAATAAGTATTTTGGATTATTTGGAAGAGTGTGTTAATATGGTCATATAAATATAGATATACTAAATAATTGTTGAATATGGTTCAAATTAAATTAAAGCTTTTATACTCCTAACAACAAAACTTGTGCATACCTCTCGGGATCCCTACTTTAAGTTAGATTATAAGGAAACAAACAATTTTTAGAGATACATGCAATGTAAAAATATTTAATACTCCCATAACATGTGAGTTTTGGAAGTTATAATGATTTTTCGATGAAGATAAAATTCAGTTGAAGCTTTATACGTAATTGTAGGTATTAACAAAACTTTATGTAGGTATACTTTAAGCTGGATAAGAAAGACTATAGTCTGGATAAGAAAGACTATAGTCTTAACCTACCTTTGATACAGATATTCTTATTCCATAATAGAGAAGCTAGATTTTTTTAATAAATGCCGTTTAGTTAAAACTATTTTATGGATAAAACCAGATATAATATATTAACATATTATGCATAGTAAAATTTTTGTGCATTTGGTCTACATGTAGACCAAATGCACAAAAATTTTACTTATTTGGCACTATACACTTTAGAATTTCATTAAATGCAGTATTTATACTCCTAAACTCTTAAACCAACCATTGTTACTGTGATACTATAAATATTTATAAACTTTTAACGCTTTAGGCGTTTAAAAACATAAACGGTAACAGTATAAATATTATTTCTTTCATTGACTATACTTTGACAGATACATAACCTGAAAAGCCTTAAATGACAAATTTTCAAAAGACTGCGTTCCGTACCTGGTCACGTGGTGGGACTTTGAAGTGTGGAGCATAGTACGTCGTCTTGACACACATTGCGAATTTATAATTTAGTATTTGTATTATGCCACCCATACGAATAGCGATTGGCCGATCTACAGCTCAAGCAAAAAGGAAAAAGACATCACGAGCTTCAGAAACCGATGAGCAACGGGAAGTAAGATTAAAAATCGTTCAAATACGCACTTCTCAAGTTCGTTCGTCTGAAACAGACATTCAGAGAGAAGTAAGACTGGACGCCGCTCGAGTATGCATTGCTAAAACCCGTTCATCTGAAGGAGATATTCAGCGGGAGGTAAGGCTGGAAACCGCTCAAGTACGCACTGCTCGATCTAGACGCTCACTGCACATTGATTTAAATCTTGGTGCGTTCAATTACAATCCTAATTATAATAACAGTCTTCATCCAAGTATCGATATTGGAAAAATGGATAAATTATGTATGTATTGCTGTGCCTTTAAATTTAAGACTGAATCACCAGAAATGTGCTGCGCAAGTGGAAAAGTGAAATTACCAGAATTGCATTTACCAGTCGAACCATTATTAACGTTGGTTTTAGGTAATACAAGCGAATCGAAACATTTTTTGGCAAACATACGCAAGTACAATTCGTGTTTTCAAATGACATCGTTTGGCGCAACAAATATTGTGCGCGAAAATTACATGCCAACATTCAAGGGCAAATTTATTATCGTGCTGGATCTATATTACCACTGCCAAACAAAGACTACAAATTCCTTCAAATTTATTTTATGGGAAACACTGATAAAAAAATCGATCAACGTTGTCTATTTAATACGGGCACTAGACGAGAAATTGTAGCTGCTTTACAAAACTTTTTTGATCAACATAACGAATTAATTCGATTGTTCAAAATTGCCCTTGAAAAAATGCAAGAATTCAACTCGCGTGATATTATTCTTCATCGCAGAAACTCATCGCTCATACGACGCATTGCAATATCCGATTTTATTCTGGCAAGGAGAAGATGAATATCATTTCAACATCAAATTGAGAAATCCACAAACAGGCGAGGAAACAGATAAGAAAGTTAGTGCTATGAAATACTATTCATACCGATTAATGATTCGTGACAACATTGAAAATCATATCTTGAAATGTCGACAATTGTTTCACCAATACATTGTAGATATGTATGCTAAAATTGAAACGGAACGACTCCTCTACATTCGATTAAATCAAACCAAGTTGCGTTCCGAAGAGTACATCAATTTACGTGATGCAGTTGTTAACGATGGTAATGTAAATCCCAATAAATTGGGAAAAATGATTATTTTACCGTCTACATTTTCAGGGAGTCCACGGCACATGCATGAGTACGCACAAGATGCAATAACATATGTTCGCGTATATGGCCGCCCAGATTTATTTATTAGATTTACATGTAATCCAATGTGGAAAGAAATAACAGAACTTTTGTTACCTGGACAATCATCATCGGTTCGTCATGATATTTGTGCGCGTGTATTCAAACAAAAATTGAAATTTTTAATGGATTTTATTCAAGTGTCAATGTTTTCGGTGAGACACGCTGTTGGATGTACTCTATTGAATGGCAAAAGGTTGAAAAAATCACACCAGATCAAATTGACCAAGTTATCTCAGCAGAAATACCAGATGTTAACACTGATCCAGACTTATTTCAAATAGTCACCAAAAACATGATTCATGGTCCATGTGGCCTACTAAATTACAATTCACCATGCATGTCTGAAGGGAAATGCACGAAAAGATACCCAAGAGACTTACTTACAGAAACTATCACTGGCAACGACGGATATCCACTCTATCGTCGACGATCAACAGAAGATGGCGGGAAATCAATCACTTTAAGATTACGAAATATTGATGTTGAAGTCGATAATCGTTGGGTTATACCATACTTACCGTTACTATTGAAAACGTACAAAGCACACATCAATGTTGAATATTGCAATTCAGTGAAATCGATAAAGTATATCTGTAAATATGTCAACAAAGGAAGCGATATGGCTGTTTTTGGAATGGTAAATGCAACCGCATCAATTGACGAAATCGACCAATATCAACTGGGGCGCTACATTAGTAGCAATGAAGCAATATGGCGAATTTTATCATTTCCAATCCATGAACGACATCCAACAGTTGTTCATTTGTCAGTCCACCTTGAAAATGGACAGCGTGTATATTTCACGACAGAAAATGCACACCTAAGAGCATTGTCACCACCGCAAACAACGTTAACTGCATTTTTCTCATTGTGTAGGGATGACATGTTTGCAAAAACACTACTTTACTCTGAAGTGCCAACATACTTCACATGGAATACTTCAGCGAAAAAGTTTCAACGTCGCAAACAAGGTAAAGTAGTTGAAGGACATCCCAATTTATATTCGACCGACGCGTTAGGCCGTCTGTTCACTGTTCACCCAAACAATGCAGAATGCTTCTACTTGCGATTACTGTTACGTACGTGGACTGACATCTTTCCAAAAATTGAAAACAGTAAAAAGTAAAGAATGTGCCACTTATCGTGAAGCTTGCCAAGAATTAAATCTTCTAGAAAACGATGCACATTGGGACACTTCACTCGCTGATGCATCGGATACTGCTTCACCACAGCAAATACGCACGTTGTTTGCAATAATATTGACAACGTGTTTTCCATCTAATCCAAAAGATCTTTGGGAAAAATATAAAGACTACATGAGCGAAGATATCCTTCTTCGTTTACGTGCAACGAATCAAAATCGGAACATTCAGTTCTCATTAAACGTTTATAGTGGGGCATTGGTTTTGATTAAGGGCATATGTTTGGCAATCGCTAATAAAGCACTGATACAATTGGGAATGGACGCCCCAAATCGATCTGCAAACGACCTTTTCGATCGTGATTTGCAACGAGAAACACACTTCAATGTTGACGAATTGATTACTTTTGTTCAAAAGAATTATGCATGCGATTAAAAACCAAAGCGGTGGATTTTATTTTCTAGATGCGCCCGGAGGCACAGGCAAAACTTTTCTTATTTCACTTATTTTGGTCACTATACGATCACAAAAAAATATTGCACTGGCAATTGCCTCATCTGGAATTGCGGCAACCCTTTTGGATGGTGGTCGAACAGCACATTCAGCTCTGAAGTTGCCATTGAATATCCAAATCACCGACATGCAATATCAGGAAAAATTCTGGAATGGGTAAAGTACTCCAATCATGTCAACTCATTATATGAGACGAATATACTATGGCCCACAAAAAAGCATTAGAAGCGCTTCATCGTACACTACAAGATTTTTAGGGAATTAACAACTCTTTGGTGGCGCAGTCATTTTATTGTCTGGTGATTTTCGACAAACTCTGCCCATTATACCACGCTCAACAGCCGCTGATGAACTTGCATGCATGTCCCAAATCATCAGGGGTGCGATTCTTGAGTTTGTACGAGTCCAATTCGTATACGAAAATAAGTCACTTTCGAATATTTTTAAAACAACCGTATTCTAGAGCATTTCGTATACGAATTATTTAATACGAATTACATCGTATGGTGGTATAGCATACGAACATATATTTTTGTGCGAAAATGCTTTCAGTTGACACATTTTCTCGTTGCGTTTTAGCGTGAAAAGAGCCAAGATGGCATTTAATAACCTAATTCAAATAGCGGGGATTGGCGTTTTAGAGGAGATTGAGGAAAATGGTGCTGTGCCTCGTCGCAGAAGGTATCTTTATCGAAGAAATGATCCCTTTAATGATTTGAGTGATAGGGAATTTGTAAGATTATATAGACTAAATGAATGAATAAGTGAGATAAACGTATAAATAAGAGAGACAAACAACCATTGTTGAACGAATAGGATAAAAAAATACTTATTTCCCCTCTGCCATAAGCGTGCAGTACAAGATTTTAAAACGATTAAATCAAAACAATTAAACGTCCGCCAATGTTTTACCTCCCCTCCTCTAACTGCTTTACAATCCCACTACTAGATAACCTTGACGCAAATTTCGCAATCGAGTCTCGAAATAATTTCAATATTATTCGGTCCACGTTGGAGTGCGGACGGAGAAATTTTAAATTTCCTTTAAAATTTAACTATGATTTTGTTTACAAAAACGAATACTTATTGAATTTTTTTCGAAAATGTGGAATATAATCCATAGTAGGGACATTCCACGTTACTCGGTAATTTTTGTCCCGCCCGTCACAATTAAAAATTGTGAGTAAAAACCACAAGTTATAAAATTAATATTTTATAATATTATTTTTATTGTGCTTATAACTTATTAAAAGCATAATAAAACAATATTTTTAAATAAATTTTATAACTTGTAGTTTTTACTCACAATTTTTAATTGTGACGGGTGGGACAAAAATCCCCGAGTAACGTGGAATGACCCAGTATTCTTGTAACAAAAAAAACAAAAATATTCTTAAACAAAAATGGTATTCTAAAATGTTTAAATAAATAAATTAAAGTAAATGTTTAAACAAAAATGGTATTCTAAAATATTTAAATAAAAAAATAAATAAAGTAAATGTTCAAACAAAAAAGGTGTTCTAAAATATTTAAGTCAAGGTAAAATTGGCCTTCCCATAGCTTACGCTTCACGAACTCTTAACCCCGCCGAATGCAATTATAGCACGATTGAAAAGGAACTTAGGTAGAATTCGGGAATTTAGGGGGACAAAAAGGATTTATTTCAAAGTTAATTAATAAGAAAACTAATCCTTTCCGGGAATAATAGAAAGTCCAAAGAACAATAGACGACCCCTTCCACGGTCCCAGCAGAATATGTGCGTTCCCAATAATCAGTCGTTACTTGACCGTCGCGCAAGCTGCTTAAACTAGTTCTCGACATCCTTATAAACACTATTTTACAAAGTCATTTTTTAGTGAATGAAAGTTCAATTATTAAGTGACAGTGATGGATATCGGCAATAATTGCCGATATCCATCACTTTCACTTAATAATTGAACATTCCTTCACTGAATAATAATAATTGCCGATATCCATCACTTTCACTTAATAATTAAACTTTCCTTCACTGAATTATTCAGGTATGTTACTTATAATTCTTAAAGAAATACTTTAATAAATTTCAATATTTCGCATAATTATAGCCCATTAAAAATACACCCTTTTTTAACATACTTTGTATACTTTTCCCGTTTCAAAAGTAAAAATGTTAATATTTCGCATAATTATAGCCCATTAAAAATACACCCTTTTTTAACATACTTTGTATACTTTTTCCGTTTCAAAAGTAAAAATGTTACCTTTCCGGGCCCGTCCGAGTATTTTTTCTTTTTGTAATTCATAAATAATTTATTTAGCTAAAAACTGAGAACAAATTACGGTCCACTTTGGTCAACTTTGCGAAAAATTCCACTTGAAAGTAATTTGGGCAGAAATCAAGAAATTTATAATTTACGTTAAAAATCTTATACAAATACTTTTCTTTATTCTAGGATCATCAAGCTCCTCGAGCGTCAAAATAGTTACACTTAGATGTCTTTTTGCCAAGATGAACGTTCAAAATTTTGATACCATAAATGAAAAATTGGATTATTTAGAAAACGACTTACTGGCGTGTTACACAGATTCAGATGGGAGCAAGAAATGCCTAAAACATAAATTTTCGCATTTTAAAAGCGAAATCAAAAGAAGATGGTCACAAGCACGCAACTTACTGGACAAATTCCTTACAAATAATGATTCATGGTTAAACGGAACATTTGAGGTACCCTTGGGAACGACTAACCGACCAGGACCAAGACCTTTGAAAACGTTCAGTGATTGTAGTGACCGATCAAAAAGGAGAAAAACAGAAGAAGTGCGTACTTCTGTAAGTGGAGAAGTGATACTGCATGCAGCACAAGTTATTTTGCAAAAAGAAGGAAAGAGACATGCCTCACAAGTTTTAAAAGATATAACTAATGAACCTTCATATGATAATAAATGCAAAAAAGGCGTTTTAAATCCAGTGAGCCGCAACAACCTTACTCCTCGACAGGCTCTAAAAATGTTTGTAGAAGCTGATTTGTCTAGGAGACAATATGAAATAATACGTGCAACCAACAAAAAGTTCCACCCGTCCTACCAAGAGTTGCTAAAGGCTAAGAAAGGCTAAAGAAGAGTCTTTGCGAGTTACAGCTATCTGCGCTGAATTTACCTGGAAGAAGTGCTAATGACCCTAACAGAAGATGAAAGGAATACATCATCCACAACAATCACAATTTAAACAAAGGCATTATAGTGATGCCTATTCGGACGCAAATATATTTATGACGTCATTTGTTCCTTTACAAATTGTTTGTGGCCAATCCGATTTAGGTATATCAAAGAGACAACTGGACCAAAGAGGAAATAAGCTATGTCCAAGACAAAATAAAGTCGCTTAAAGCCTCAGAAGTAGAAATTTCTGGTGTAAAGTTTTCCTTTAGTCATTGTCTTAAAATGACTATGGTAGACGGGAAGGTCTGCAATGCAGCAACCGATAATAAATCAACAAGCAAGTGTTACATATGTGGGGCGACATCAAAAGATTTTAATGATCTAACCAAGAAACATGCTGTGTGTCCTGAAACACTTCAAATTTAGCATATAAACTACCCGTTAAAAAGTACCGTGAGGGGAGAAGCGAAGAAGAAAAAATGTTGGAACAACAAAAAAAATTAGAAATCCAGTAAAGATTCCGTAAAGAAACTGGTCTTTTAATAGACATGCCAAAGGCAAACTTTGGAAACACAAATGATGGCAACACGAGCCGAAGGTTTGAAGACCCAAAACTAGCTTCAGAAATTACAGGAACTGACTACAAATTTAATTGTAGAATCAAAACAATTTTAGAGGCCATCACAAGCGGTTACAAAATAAATGTCCAAAAGTTTAATGTGTATGCAATGGAAACGGCAAAACTGTACGTGGATTTGTATGGGTGGCAATAATTTGCAAAAATGCCATTTTACCTATTGGCCAGCTTTCAGAAGAAGCTGCCAAAGCCCGGAATAAGCATTTCCGGTCGTACCGACTTAACTTTGCCCGTAAATTTTCACGTGAAGAATGCAATCTAGACATATAACACAGGTAACTTATGACATCCGACCCTGTCATCAGTTCTTTGAGAAAAAAAAAGAACAATTTCAAAATCGTTTTCGCAGGAAACTTTACGACTTTTGGTTTCTGCAGAGCCGAACGCAGAGATAGCCTGTGATACATGTATGGAAAGCGATAACGAAGACATTTCATTTGGCTCGTAAATTACTTTAATTTTTATATGTGTAGTAGTAGTAGTACGGTTGGGTAGGCTCGAAGCCTGACAATTAGACTCTATGGTCCTTTTTATCTGCCCCTCCTAAACCAACCAAACTACTCCTCATCCTCCTCTTCGCCCATACCAGCCCTTTCGAATCTTCCAGACCTTCTTATAAAGGTCAGGATATCCTGCCAGGCAAGAGAGGCCAACTCTTCCCTTTGGAGTGTCATCACTCCAAAGATTTTATACCT